TGTATAAAATAATAATTTAACAGAAACATTCATGTATAAAATAATAACTGAACAGAAACATTCATGTATAAAATAATAGTTGAACAGAAACATTCATGTATAAAATAATAATTGAACATTATTTATCTGAGGAGCAGCTTTGAGTTTAACTCCATCACTGAACTCTCATCTTGAACAAGCATGAAGGCGACAGTGGAAAGAAAAACTCCCTCATGAGGAAGAAACCTTTAGCAGAACCAGGATCAGGACAAGAGGACCATCTGCTTCCACCGGCTGGGTTTGGTAGGAATAGATACACAATGGCAGGTCAAGAATCACATGTTAAGATAGAAATAGTATCAAATGAAAACTATTCAGTTTTAACAATTCATTTAAGGAGATGAGGTCAGTTTGTCCTCTAGTAGTCTAAGTCTATAGCAGCATAACAAGCCAACCCTAACTATAGGATTTATCAAAAAGGAAAGTCTTAAACTGGACAATGTGTCAGCCTCATGGACAGAAACTGGAAGTTGGTTCCACAAGAGAGGAGCCTGAGAACTGGAAGAACTTCCTCCCATTCTGCTGCTGGAAACTCTAGGAACCACAAGTAAACCTGCAGTCTGAGAACAAAGTGCTCTGTTAGTAAAATATGGAACAATAAGATCTGTAATATAAGATGGAGCTATTTAAAGTTTTAGTTTGGTCTCACTATAACCAGAATGCCTCCATATAATCTAAAGGTTTGTTGAGTAATTTATAACTGTAGGATGCAGCTAAAATTACAAATATTATAATGTCTTGTTTGTTCAAATTAGTTGAGAAATAAGAAAGTTATAGCAACTTTAGAGGAGTACAAATAAAAAGACGTAAATTTCTCCTATTGAGTCCTAATGATCAGATGTTCCCAATTCCAGTGTTTGAAAAAAACAAACACTTTTGGCTCAAAAGATTCTCATGAAAGTTACTCAGAATGTAGAGATGAGTTTATAATAAATTGTTACTTTCCTTTTAATGAATCCTCTACATCTGATGTGACTTGATTGCTGGAATGAGCCAAATGCATGAACTCACTGGTCTCAGGGATGTGACATACAATTCAATTTAGTTTATTTATTTTATTCAACTCGATTCACTTTATTTATACATACCTACGTAAGTATTATTTTTTCTTTTCTAAGAAGGGAACCATTTCAAGCCAAGTCAAATTTCTTCATAAAGCACATTTAAAACTGCAGCTGTTACCAAAGTGCTTAATAAGATCAAAAGCAGTAATTAAAGGATAATAATAATAAGACGTGATTAAAAGCATAAAAAGTAAAACAAAAAACAGTGAAATACTAAATCGAAATAGTTAGTTGTACTAAGGAAGGAAGAAGAGGAACACTTTGAACAAAAACTTTTGTTCCCTTATTTATAAATGGTTTATGTACAAAAAAAAAAAAAGGTACAGAGTTATTTATTTTCCGTATGTGCACAGACCAACAGTCCAGGCACGTTGAAATTCTTGTTCAGAGCTTCCAGTCATAGTCAAAACACTGAAACACTAAATAAAACTAGAACAAAGTGGTTTGTGTCTGTACAGAAAGTAAACTGTGTGATATAACCAGTGGAGGTAGTAAACCGTGTCACAAGACCAGTGGAGGTAGTAAACCGTGTCACATGACCAGTGGAGGTAGTAAACCGTGTCACAAGACCAGTGGAGGTAGTAA